GGGGGAGGGAGGGGGGCTCTGGCAAACTTTCCAGCAAAACTTTCTTTCCCACTGGCTGGTGAATCTTTCCACCCTCCTCTCGTCATCCCCCCAACATTCCAAACTTTTAAGTCTCTTTCTCTTTCTTCCCCTCCCAAAGCCGGGGAGAATTAGGCCACAGTGCACGGAGGGACGCGGGTGTTAACCCACGTCTTCCCCAACAGTGGCCAAATTCCAGACCTGAGAGGGGCAAGGCCCCGAGGAGGACCCAAGGGTTAATGGCTGCAGCAAGAAAGCTGCAAGCTTTGTTGGAAAACAGCTCCCCCGCCACGGAGGGCCCATTAGCATGCAAATGCACTTTGCCTCCTGCCTTTTAATGTTTTACTTCTCTTAATTGCTGAAACCGGTTGTAATTTCTGGGCTCTGCTGGCTTGGGGGGAAGCAGTTTCCTCTAACAGGAGCTGTCATTGCACCTGGGAAGGATTTGAATTCTAATTTTATTAACCAATTGGACCACAGGGTTTCTCTTCTACTCCTCAAAGGGGCGGTGGTGGTAGTGGTGGTGGTGTGTACGGGGTGGTGTCCCAGGTTCAAGTCAGAAACCACCCTTTGCTCCAGTGTTGACCTGGATTCCTCAGAATCCCTGACATCCTTGACATTCTCAGTAAGATCCAAAATGGCACAGGTGATTGGATGAAGATAAGAGGGAGTTTATTAAAGATCTTAGATATCCGGCCCCTGGTTAGGACTCTGCAGTGAAACATACTTTGAAATATCACCTGGTTGGGAGCATTACCTAATCTTTCCGTTTCAGAGAGATTTCAAATGAGCAAGCCACTTCCTAAGGGAATCCTGAGGCTAAAACTCTACTTTCTACAAAGTGGAAATGACTGGAGAAAGGAACTGCTCTTCCTATAAGATACTATTGCCATGAGCAACCAGTATTAGCCTTCCTAGCCAACTGAAGGAAAATAATTGTCCCTTATCCCTGCACCGTCCTCACATAATACCACCCTACTAAGATTTCACATGACTCCGTTTTGTACAGAGAGAGTCAGAAACCAGGCACAAGCTCTGGAAAATACCTGATGATTCTAGATCTCCCCGGGATGCCATTGTGAGTCAAGCCATTTTATTTTCTGGAGATGGTTTAATATGTAGCTCTTGGAGGCAAGAGTTTGTTGTCTGATAGGAACACAGTCTTGTGGAGCCAGACACACCCTCAAAGGCAATGGCTCCCCTTCAAGGACCACTGTGCACATGGATCTGTGCTGGAGACTGACCAGAGGTGACCACTGTGCAGGGCATGGGTGCAGTTGCCGCATCTGTCCCCCCAACACCTGAGGGAAAGAGTCTGTGGAAATGCAAAGCCCTCTCTGCTGAATTTGCTCAGTCAATACTTACATCTCACTTACCACACAGAGGGGATCAGGGTGTCTTGCTTGGCAATTATTTATCCACCATCCTTGGCAGTTCTCCTGGCTGGTATTTAGCTCGGTGGAATTCTGAGTTTCTGGAAGCCCGAGTGCAAACAGAGATGAGAGAACCACCATCTCTTTACCTGATGAGGAAAAAAGCAGAGCACCTCCAGCAGCCGAAGTCCAGCGCCTTCTCCCGCTGGGCTTCCTTCCTCCTCAGCCCCTTGGTCTTCTCTGCAGCCTCAGACATGTCCTTGGGATGTCCTGTTCAGTGTCCAAGCAACAGTCACATCCTCATAGCCACATGTCCATAAAAGCAAGGATGATGAAAGAAAACCCAACATAAACCATGAGTGTCCATGTTGATTGACTGATGCACAGGTCCTGCAGGTTGGGGGACGGCAGGGATCAGGGCGAGAAGACATCCTAATTCCTGCACAGCATGGTTTGTGCTGAGCCTGGAAGGATCGGAGGCCAAACTGAGGCCCAGAGGAGTTTGCCACCCAGGGGAAAGACCCCGGAAGACGGCCTGTGAATGAAGGGATGGAGGGATGGGCTTCAAAGATCGCTCACACCATCAGCCCACCGGGGCGATCCTGAGTCTTTCCCTCTTTCCCTTCTGACATTTTCTTTCAGTGGGAGTTAGGAGGGGGTGGGTGGGGTGCCCCCCTTTCCTGAGTACCTCATTTATAACAGGTGCTTTACACTTTTCGACAAAGCCGAGAAATCCCATAGGTAGATTTTATCTTCGTTTTGCATTAAGAAGAAACTGAGGCTCAGAGTGTCCCCAGGATGCACTGGTCCTATCACCAGGGACGGTGGTAGAATCAGGGCTCACATCCATTTTCCCGGACTCCATAACTTTCCCTTCTCTCTGCTTCCGGGGACAGGGACCAGAGACTCTTCCATTTATCTCAGCAAACCACAGAGGAGAGCTGGTGGTGGGGAGGTGCTCCCCAAGGACGATGTAGTCACAAGTGGCCTAGCCACGGCCCCAAGCCACCCCACAGGCCTGTCCCCTCCCCAACATTTTCAACTTGTTTTCCTTCAGAGAAAACATGACTTTTCCCATTGATGGAACTCACAGGCCGACAATAGGGGCCCACAGCACGCCCCCCCTCGGGGACTAGTCTTTAAGGCTGGCTGGTCCCCCCAGGCCCCCGCCCCACCTGCCCTGACCTTCCTTTGGGGGGAACTTTCTGCATAACAATGTGTGATGGGGGCTGCCCTCTTGCTATTAGCACCTAATGAAAATGTAACCATATTTAACCCCCCACCGTCCCAGATCAGCCGCGAGCCCAAGTGGGCTTAATTCCTTTGTATGATAAGCACCGGGCTCTCCATGTGGATGGTCCATCCCCTTTCTCCCTGGAGAGGACTCAGAGCTATGTATGTCTAACTGGACTCTCAGCTGTCCAGGGCACAATGGGGAAAGTATCTTTTGTGGCATTAACGGCTTTGGGGCAGGGAGAGGGGAGGGGAGGGTTGGTGGGGAGGGGGTGCTGTTGAAGAGGAGCAGAACAATGTGTGAGAAGCGGAGGCTGTGGGTTTCCCACACGGACCAATATGTGCCCCCCGCCCCCCTCTGGGAGAGACAGACCTGCAGCGACCAGCCCACAGCTGATCCTGCCTTGATTGGCTTTTTTTTTTTTTTTTTTTCATTGTGCTCTCAAGGGACGAAAATCCTTTTGTGGCGTGAAAGGAGAGGCGTTCCTGCCGTCCCCTCCCTCGAACTGATTGGCTATGTCACAAGATGGCCAAATCCACCCGGATTAATGTGCGGCCGGCCAGGCCGAGGTGTGGGGACGTCTGAGTCCGCCCCTTCGGGCGGGCGGGCGGGCGAGCGTGTCTGCTGCCCTGGGAGCAGGGGAGGGGGACACGGAGGGGCAGGCCACCACTTTCTTCATATTTATTATTCCCCCCACCCCGCGGCCCCGCGGGGATGTTTATTCATGGGCCACATCTGCTGGCTGGCAGGCGACGTGTCTCTTGTTAGAAAGAATGCCTGGGAGTCCCCCAGGAGCCAGGGAAATGGGGCACATTCCGGAGGACCCGCCTTTCTGCTTTGCTCGGCAGTCCTGGGGCTGGGCCCACCTGTAATGCAGCCGGGCCAAGGCTCAGCTTGCAGCCCTGCGGCCCGCTCCTCACCTGCAGGTCCTGGGCTCCCAGTCTAGAGGGACCCCCTCTGCTCCCCTCCTCTCTGGTCCCTCTTACCTGGGTCATTCTTTCCTGCCTGCTTTCTGCACCCATGGCCCAGCTTCGGGTCCCTGACTCTCCCATTGGAAAGAAGGTCGCTTTCTCGGATGTCTTCAATTGCTTCTGGGCCTCTTCCATCGCGCTCAACGATTTTTACCTTAAGGAACCGTGGGTAGAGGGTTTGCTGTCCCTGGAGGGGATGAGATCTGTCTGTGGTCCCCCCTTGTCACCTCACCTGCCCCATCCCCCATCCCGTGTGGGTTGCACAGGGGTGGACTTGGGAGGCTTGGCTCAAGAGGCATCGCTCAAGGCTGACTGAGAGGGTTGGAGGCCAGGAG